GGCTGTCTGTTAAAACCAAAACATTGCACTGAATTCAGATGCATAGAAATGAGGTGCTGATTTTTTTTTCTGGAAACCATGCTGGACTCCCTTCTGCACTTCTGGGGTCATTTCTGTCTCCTCTCATGCTGCCCTCTCGCCTCTGAGAGATACCTCATCAGCAGAAAAGGTATCACATTTGTTCTTCATCACTTCTTTCCTTAGAAATTCTCTGCTGCAGCAGATGAGAAACTTGGCAGCAGGGAGGCAGCAGGTGTGCTGAATGCTGCTCTCATCATCCCTCACACGGACTACTCTGCCTCATTAGTTATAACTCTATCGGTAAACCAATCAGGGTATGGGGCCAATATTAGCATGCGACTGCCCAGAACACTTGACTGGTACCACACTGTTAGGCCAGCATGAAACAGTGGTTCTTCAAACCATGCCTAGGTGCCACACAGGAGTTAGCAGAGCCCAAAGCCTAATCCCAGCGGGCAGGCTGGATGCAGCCAGTTTATCCAAGAGGATGCTACATTTGAGCGGTATGGACATGATCGAGGCTATGCCAGTTAACCTCAGGGTCAGAAAATCACCTAATCCAGCATCATACCTACTGTTTCCTTGGCTCCCTTTGTTTGGCAATCCCTATCTGTCATTTCCTGCCTCATATGCAGATCTTTCAGTTCTCAGGGCCTAGGTTGCCTCAAAAAGAAGAACAGCCCCTTGCAGATAATATGGAGATAAATTTCATCCTTCCTCTAGAAATGTTAAAATAATTTGTCAGATGGTTTAGATCACTCTGCATAAATGCTGTGTCCTCATCAATACTCACCACTCTGCCAGTTTTTCTGTCATTTGCAAATTTTATCTGCAGTAACTTTGTATTTACTTCTAGATCATTAATATAAATATTGATAGGAGTGAGTCTAATACCAGAAGCCCACCAAAATACATTCAATTATTGTTCCACATTGACAGCTGCTTTCTGAGATCTGTCATTTAGCTTTTATTAATTTTTTTTATGCATGTTATTGACAATTGTATAGAGTTAATTTTTTAATCAGAATATCTTTCAGAACTGAATCAAACATGTTACAAAAATTTATTATATTTGCACAGCTACTCTAATTAAACTAACATCTAAATCTGTGATCTCATTCAAGAATTATATCAGGTTTGTGTAGGATGATCAATTTCTTGTGAAAAACTAAACCTCATTTTAATTACTATCTTTTAATTTTTCATTGATTGAATCCAACTAGTATCCAATTTACTGTTTTTCCTCCTGGAGTTAACAACGTCTTGTCCAAAAATCTGCTCAGGATTGTGAAAATATGTAAGTTTTTGTTTGTTTTTATTAAAGACTTTTTCTAAAATTAGAGGACACTCTGGAGGAAAGCGACTGACAACTTGCAATAGAGGCATCCCCAGAATAGTGACTTACTTGCTGGGCTGGCATATCAAGAAAGCCCAGGGGGAAGAAGGAATATCTGAGTCATCCTCAAAACTCCCCCTTTTCCAGGTCTCAAGCACAAATCAAAGAGCAATGGGGAATTGTTCACATGCTGCTTCGATGCAGGCAGAGATTGATTTTAAGCTGCACAATGTTACACAAGCCTCTTGCCCTGCAGCAGGGCTTGTCGGGAGGGACAGGGAGACCTCTCTGCTCTAAGGGCAGGGCAGAGAATTAATAGCACAGGCTACTGACGTGTGCGTTAGCAGCAAAGTAGCTATTGCTTTTTTCTCCAGCTCACTCACTCTTATCCTGTTTTCACAAAGGAATATGATTAAGATGTCAGTTGTTTAGATCCATTTTTAATATCTCCTGATCAAAAGTGGAAGCTTAGATAGCATGTAAGAACTGACTTTGATATTAAAGAGAGAAAGAAGAACAAATAGTTTAATTTGCTTCTTGTCTTTTTTGGCTTGGGATTTTGAAGCAGATGTTCATATGCAAACACAAAAAAACCATCTTCCATCCAAGTCTGAGCACATATCACATGGTTCAGAAAGAGATGTATAGTGAGGACTACAACAGCACACTTCCTGCTTGTAGTGTCACAAGAATGTCACAGGCAATGACCTGTGTAACTTATCTGAACATGGGATGAAAAAAAAGAGAATAAATCTTTAAAAAGGAACAAAATACTTGAAGTAACCCACACTCAGAAAACATGTGTAAGTATGCTGTTTCAAGCATATCCATAGATTAAAAACTAGGAAAAACACAGATTGAGTATTACAGTACGATTTTAATGATGATCTTAAGACACATAGAAGCAAGTAATGTGAAAAGAAAGGGGCTGATTTCTGGACCTTAAACCGATGAGACCACAGAGAAGCACCTGCAAAGCCTCTGGTTACTCATGAACAGGGGAAACAGGTGCTTGGTATGGCCCAAATTCTAAAAGGCTGGAATGTCACATTTTGAAGAGGGCTTTGATTCTTTTTGGTCTTTGTATATATTGAGGAATTGAGAGGTAAATTGTGGAGACCAAAGCCACACAAGGGGAAAACCCAACCAGCAAGGAGTCAAAGAGAAGGACATGTGATGTTTCGCACATTCACCGTAATGCATAGCCTGAGAGGAAGGAACCATTGTAGCAAGTGCCACCACCTTCCATCTCCCCCAGGAAGAGGCACACCGCTTGCCAGCAGAACCTCCCCGCTCTCCCAGACTGATGCCAAAGCAGGCGGCAAGTTAACCGGCTTGGGAAGCACGACCCGTCTTGACTCGCTATCGCCCAGGAAGAGAACTGGCACAGCCACTGCCACAGGCTGGGAGCTTTCAAGGAGTAATCCTGCCCCATTCCCTTCAACCATGGAATTATCACAGATGGACATTATCACTGGTTCTACTATTTTCTATGGGTTTATGATTTTTAAAATGCTTTTTATACATTTAATCCCCACCTCTTTTCCAAGAACCTCAGAAAGACCCCCAGAAACACTTGCCAACTGTTTGTAATGAAGATGAAAGAGGAAGGGGAAGCAGACTATGAATATTAGCAAGTAAAAAGACTTAAGGTTTGGATATAAATCTGAGATGCTTGTGCCACAGCAAGACAGTTCTTGAATTACATACCATTTAAAGCCTGTTCCTGTAAGCACGGCTATAGATCCAGACCATACAGGTGTAAATTACACATGTACATACACATATCCTAAGGGATTTCATGGAGACATTGCTAGTTCTCTCTCTGGCTCTATTTCTGTGGAAGCCAAAATGTGTCATGGGGACTTTTGTATCTCGTAGGGTCCAAGCACACCTCATGCATCTGTGTCATTAGACCTTGGAGAGGTCTCGTCACAGCAATTGCAATCACCACCATATCATGTTACAGGCCGAATGCCTCTTCCATGCTTGCTTCTAAACATGTTCAGGTTTCATATATGAAATGAAAACATTTAAAAATGTTTCTCCATGCTTAGACTTATCTCAGTAGACTGGTATTTCCTATGTATTAATGGAGCATAAACTGAGTGCAAAATCTGGCCCTTCATACAATGGGCGATTTTTGGCATTGGGCCCAGATAAGACCAAAAAAATAATTGTCTGAATTTAATCAGTTGATGTTAGTTGGCAGTGCAAGAAGTCTTTATGCAGGTATTTATTTGTCCCAGCAATAACAAGAATATTGGAATTTATATCTAGGAGATAAGAGAGCACCTTGTCACTCAAGCACAGCTAACAAGGGAATCACTATTTGGTACAGACATGTAAATGTCAAATGCTTAGCCTGGTTATTATTGTAAATTCCATTTTTACAACCTTTTATTTTTAGAATGGTCTCTTAATTGATTTTTAATTATATTTTGCAATGACATTTAACTACACATGCTTTGTAAATATACCCACACATATGACAAAATATATTAAAGGAGAAAATACCGATACATTAGAGGTACTATCTTCACAGACTGCACTAAGAAGAAATTCTTGTGTGAGATCAAATTTGTTTTGGGTATAAAGGGATGCAGTTCTACCACAGACAGATGATACCAGCTGATTTGGTCCTCAGAATGTTAATGATACGCATCATCAACCCATCAGTACAGAGGTGCACTGCTCCTTCCTGATAGTCATCAAAATGGAATGGGATGTAAAACAGTCACCAGCTCAACCGGCCACAGGGTGATTCAAAGCAACGTCTAATCCACCTCAGCACAAAGCAGCTGGGGAGGCAATGGTTGCTGAAAATAATGTACTATAACATTTTTCACTTATACAGTGTCTGTTATTTATCACAAGGGTCAAAATACAATGCCAAAGTATTATTTAACCTAAAACATAAACAACACAGAGATTCTTTAACAGTGAGTCACAGCTATCTAACTTGTAGATCAGGACAGCAAACCAAACCTTAGGAAATGTAACTGCTTTTTATAACTGAAGATGAGATATGCCCAAGGAAATTAAATGGTGTTATTTGGCTTTTGCATAAATAAGGAGTGAGAAGAAAATGAAGACTAACTTCCAATTCTGGGCCCTGAATGATTACTCAAGTTAAAATTGCCCAGGACATAGTGACCAAGGGATGGCTTGACGTAAAGTTCTACAAGGTCTTCAGTCATCAGAAGAGGTCAGGACATCTACCTCAGGAGCACCATGTTAGAGAAAAGCAGAAGGCAATGCATCTCAGGTCTCCAGTGTGGTGTTTTGGAGGTGTCAGATAGCACAGCCTGAGCATCGGACAGGACTGCAGCACACAGTGTGGCATTAAAAGATATAGCACTATAAATTGCATCCATCCAATTGGCTAAAACAGAGGTCTGGGATGGGTTAAAAAAGTTAACCCAGTTATCAAACGACAAAATCCTGGGAAGTCTGAAACGCTGTATGAAACTATTCAATTCCCTTGAGTTTCTGGCTCAGCATCCCTCAGGTTTGGGGTCCAAAGGATCATGTGCCATTCAAGAGAGAAACCATGCACAGGGAAAGGCTGGAACCAGCACCCTCAGATCCCACCACCCAAGGCACCCTACATTAGCCATTGAATTTGTTGGAAACCACTCACTGTTGTAGTTGCTGTTCCCACTAGTCTCTGCCGGTGCGGTGCTGTGCTCCCCCGGCCCTTCAGAGGTGGCCCTTCCTGACACGGAACGGGGAGAAAAAGGGAGGAGACGAAACAAAGAGAGGGAAGAAGGGGACACAGGAGGGTAAAAGAAGGGAAAGGGAGCATTTGTAACCGAACTCTTCCAACAGCTTCGTTACACATAAACACTGGGCACACTTAGGGCCTGCCAGCGGCAGCTTTGCATTGGCCCTAACTGGCTCCAGGTCAGGCGTGAAGAAGCTGTTTCACACAAAAGCAGGTTCACGCAAGGGCTGCAGAGCAGGCAGGCACCCGGGTGGTTTTGCAGGCTGTCCTTATCCCGCAGCCACACGCAGCTGGAAACTTCAACAAACCTGCACTACAGAAACTATTTTCCTCTTTTCCATTGAAAATGCTACTTTTTATTGAAAAAATTACAATTTCTGACTGGAAAACTCAATTTACTTCTTTCAACAATATTTTTCTGCCAAAAGTGCTTTTTTCCCCGAAAAATTCAATTTCCCATAGAAAGAACATCATGACAATTTTTGTAAATGAGTGCCGTTGATGTATTTTATGGAAAATCAAAATGATAACTTGAAAAATACCACTTCCCGTGCTTTTATGAAAACACTGTATAACATTATTGAAGTCAGCAGGATAACAACAGGTAAAGGCCTGCACATTTTTCACTCAAACTTGTATTTGCTGACAATTCACACATACCTTTTACATGGCCAGGATGTCATATTGTTATTAGTAAGGCTGTAATTTCATTATCAGTTACAGAAGCAGTGGAAAACACTGGAAAAAGCAGAATTTAGTATTTATACAATTCCCAAGTTTGACAATTATGGTGGAGGCATAGTGCTTTTGTTGTGGAAGGACCTGATTTCTTCATGTTGTGGAACTCATAAAAACCACAGGGCTGGGGAATGACTATATTGATCTTGGATAAGATTCACTCCTGTGCAGAGATCCAGCACAAGCCAGTATATCACATAAATTTCGTTTAAGTCCATACTGGGGAATGAAGTGGCACGCAAATCACACATTATTGTTAACATAATGCTTTGTTCCTAAATATTGCTACGCCTGAGTAGACTACAAAATTTTTTCAGAGATTATAAAAATAATCCCCGTTCTGCAAATGGGGAGACTGAGACAATGAAAGGAGATAAGACTTGCCAAAGGTCACCCAGCAGGGAAGCAGAAGGGCTGGGATACATCCAGATGCCAGAGTAGAGATCTGTCTCCTGTCATTGCCCCTATATGTGGTACAAACACACAGTCGATGACAGCTTCTGCTCCACAAAGTGACTTCTCTAAAATGCCTCTTGTAAAGTCTGCTTGAGCAATGGGACCCAAGTGTTCATCACAAAATGCATTCATTAATTCATGCTGTTTATTTTGATGTTAATGGAATCTGATTTAATTGTGTTGTATATGTTCTGTATAGATAACTAATTCTCTTTTTATTTTTTTCCTGTGGATACATATTTTACATGCTCTTTTTTCCTTGCAGCAGCAGCTTTTGCTCACTCATAGTTCCTCCTATGGGGTCTGAGGAAAAGGAATGTAACTGGCATCCCTTTCCACCCTTTAATGAAACTAGGGTTCAGATTACTGTCATACTGTGAAGACTGGTAAAACATCTTTGCTGACAGTTTAAAAACTTCCAGAACACAGAAATTAAGCAAAAATTAATTGGAAATCTCAGAGACAGATTTCAGTAGACAGCAATGCATGCTCAATTAATTAACTCTGAAAAAATGCAAGTGCTACATTTCATATGTGTCATAAGCCCTAAGAACAATAAAAGTGTTTGTTAACAGACTTTCGGAGAAAAAAAGCTAAGCCAAGTTGCAGTGCGTGCTGCACTTCTGTGTCTCAGCAAAAGCTGGCTGTAAAATAGAGTAAATGGTGGGTGTATTTTAGGGAACTACAAGTGTACCTTCAGATCAATCCATTCCTGAACTTGTGCTGATGCTCAGAACAGTAATGGGAAAACAATCCTGCTAAGCTTTCTCGCAGCAAGGATAAAAATCCTTCCTTCACCACAGGTTGGCCCTCTTGTTTTCTGGGGATGCAAATACATCGTGGCACTGAGGATCCAACAATTCTTTGTTATTCCTTTTAAAAGTAAACATATATGCACCTGTACATATGGTTACTTTTTTCTTTGGCCATAAAGTGCCCAAGTGGCCATTGAAGCATATAATGCCTCACCCAATTGCATAACCATGAATATTCATGTACAAATTGTAATTACAAGTGCATGTTCATTGTGCATGTACTGTCTTTGTTTTACTATTTTTAATTGCCAGAACACAAAATAATTCAAAATATGTGATCTGTTGGATTCAGATTTGCAAACTGCCTGCTCAAAGGCTGAAAGACGAATAAAGGGACTAGCCCAAGGAAATGTGCAATTCAGCTTGGTGCTGTGAACAGTTAAAGCAAGCTAATGCAGATCCCAGCCTCACCTTCCCAGTCCTTGCACATTCAGAATCCCACCAGTTCCCATTTTACTGTGCACATGACCACAAGACAAATTTAACAACAAACCTGTGAAAAGATTCTGGAATTCAGGTTGGCCTAACAGCAGGTAACAGTGAGAAATCCACTTCTCTTCAGACGGATGAAGTGATAGAAATGCAAGGTAGACCGAAAAGAATCGATTTGTCATGACCAGTAAAAGAGAGCTGAAGCTTATGTTTTCATTTCTGATACCTAAACTGGCAAAGCACTTCAGAAGCTGACATTTATTGATCATGCAGCCTCAAAACAATACTGGTGAAGTTCAGAGCCCATACAGTCAAAAGACATGCATTAAATACAACAGGAAAGTTGATAGCAGAAGAAAAATGAGAAATAAATTCCATTTACAGACTTGGCATGTGTATGGGAAGCATATAGCCACTTTCACCAGCAAGAAAGTGCTGGGATTACATGGCTTTTTCTTTCATGTTAGGTCACCATTTTGAGATGCAGAGTGGATGTTGTGCCTGTTAATGTCACTGGCCTCAATCATGCAATCCTTAATCAGGCAGAAATCCCTGCAGTTTTGCCCATATAAGAATTACAGACTCAGTTATAGGTCTTCTGGTGCAGATTTGACCCCTGCTGCCTCCCTGCCGCAATAAAACTTCTAAACCCGCTTGGATCATTACTTCTACAACTTGCCAGAGGGCATGGGAGTGCAGCATTTATGCTGTTGCTTTCTGGTTTTAACCAAGAGTTGAGGCATCATCCAGTGACTGTACTGGCCAACATACAGCAAGAGAAATAATCTAAACCAGATACAGGGCTAGTAGGGATTACTTGTCCCAGAATAATCACTCTCTCCGCCAACTCTACCTCCATGCAAAACAACAACTTGCTAGTCCTTGCTCAGCCAGTGCCAGCATGCCCTTTTTTAGAACAAAAAAATCGGTTTCCTTAATGGCATAAAAAGGTTATTAGGATTGTTTATTCTAAGGTCTGAAATATGTATTCAATTCTCAATTTGCTTATATGTCTTTTAATTATATCAACATTGGTGTTCTGTCTCTGTGGTAGTAATTGGAAATTGATATAAAATCAAGACTAGAAAACATTAAGCACTGCAGTGACTGGAGTTGTTTCTCACAGCATTTATCATCTTACTGCTTGTTTTTCAGAATTAAATTTCCAACACAATTCTCTTTTTAACATACAATATTAGGTGAAAATATTAAACATGTTCACTGGCAGATGATGTCTATTTATCAGAGACAAGCACAATAGAAGCCATACCCTGCTAAATTCTGAGCCTGAAATTCACTAAAAGACATAATTCAGCATTAAAGGGGAAGGGATATACATCTAGGAGATTTTCTGCAGAAAGAATCTTAAAAACCTTTGGCATAGCCTGGATGTGAACGCATAGGAGACCAATACAAAAATCATGTGTGCTTGGGTGACAAATAGAATGATGGTGGTGTCCCTCAGAATTCACAGAGGAGGTAGTAGACAGGGGAGGGGAGGGGAGGGGAG